TCTCTCTCTCTCTCTCTCTCTCTCTCTCTCTCTCTCTCTCTCTCTCTCTCTCTCTCTCCCGCCGTGCACGTCAACGTGGGCGCGCGTTTTCAGGAGGATCACATTGTCGTAGTTCAAAACCTCGAATGGTTGTATCTGGACATCGTTCCCGCATTGCTGTTTGGAACTCATCTGGCAATCTCTGTCGGAAAACCACGAACCCGCACAGCCAAGAAAACGTGACATGTCCATTGTAATGATTCTGCTTTGGTTCGAGATTTGCACGACCAATAAGCAAATTCATGCACTGTTGCAGATGCTCCTCCAGCCCAGCAAAAGTCACAGCCTCCTCCAAAAGCGCTGCGGGTCCCGGCCACCGACTCCTGATCTCGGCGCTGTCAGCTTCTCGTCGAGGAAAGGATCTGTATCTGTCCCATTTCCAAACACGACTGCGTCGGCCCGCACGCCAGCCCTGCGTCGTCGGCGGTCCATGTATGAGAAAGGGTGAATATTGGTATGTCGCTTATATGTCAATTTTTAGAACTCTACAAAACAGAACATCACGGACACCGATTACCTTAGTACTGTACCTTCATATAACGAAAACGAAAACAAATTTCAAAACGTAAAGCAGACGAATAACAAAAACTCAAAACATATAACAAACACCTGGGAGATGACGATTGCATATGTATACACAAAATGTACAATCTTTGAGACCATAATTTTGTCTCTCTCCCACAACGAAGAAACATAGGAAAAAATAAAATGAATGGTACTCATCACTGGATCGCACTTCAAGGATAAAACATGGCAGATAAATCCTCGCCATCGTAGACAAAATAGGGCGGTGACACGACTAGGCGCTAAGCGTCATCCCGAGCGACCGTCCCATAGTGTGTGTATAGTATGCGATGCACAAGGGGGAAGACAATATCATACATCAAATCACCGTCGACCGGTTTGAGAACAAAGGTACTGAAGTACATGGTCGGCTTAGACATTAAGACACGAACGTGTTCGATGGCGTGGTCACGAATATAAGTCTCTGTGGTGAGTCTGACGACTCGTTCCTCCTCGACACTGACAACGAAATGACGATTCACCTTCTTGTCTGCATTGCGGTATCCCACTGCATCGCCGACTCGATCTATTACGAGAGTCATTGATTCGTAATAGTATACGGTGTCGCCGCCTGTCAGTTTTGTGGTGTGGTAACATCGAAAAATCATTAGCGCGCAATGCATCGTCGCTCCTTTCGTATGGCGTTTGAAAAGTGTTGCAATTCACATAAACCAACACCTTAAGTTATGAACCCAACGATCGAGTAACGAATAACGCAAACATGATATTCTGCATGTACCGCACGGGCAGTGGGAACGCCCTGTGTATATATATATGGGATGAGCGGATAGTCGCGGTCTCGAACACTGTCATATGTTGAAAACCTTTACGATTTTGTTCGTCAACCCACTTGTTTCAGACTACGCATGAGAAGAGCGGGATAACGGTTCGTTGGCACTTTGGCACTGTTGTCCACAACCGTCGTTCGGCAACACACTGCGCACATCTCCGTGGAAAAAACCACGGCGTTGCAGCGGTCGGTCGAGTTTGGAGAAATACCATGCGTTGCGTGCCAACCTTTCCACATGCTCGACCGCAACGACTTACACGATGCACCTTAGCAAATGACCAATAATATCGAAGTTGGGGGGTTCGCAGGCGTCGGGAACAATATCCAAAAGCTTTTTTGCGTTCATTACAACCTCATCAAGGCAATCATGGTTGTCATACTCCAGCCCCGCCACGACCCTCAAAGCGAGGGTGTCATCGATGAATGCGTAGTACACACGTGTTTTCGTGGTGACAACACCTTCCCAGTACTCAAAGTCTCTTTCGTTTTCAGTATCGCGCTCACACACTGTCTCTCTCACGACGATTTCCTTTCCATCCACAACCTCTTTCACAACAACAACTACGTCGGCCATATTGTGTCGTAAGGTCGAATAAGTGAACCTGACAATTATGAACTGTCTCAATGGCTGGTCGACGGCACTGCGAAAGATGACGGCAACACAATGCATACAATAAGCGACGGACACAATGAGTCGAGTCTCGTGCCTAAAAAAACAAAATAATAATAATATTAATTACGAACATTAGTACGTTGGTTGGTTAGTTGGGTGGTAGGGTGGTTGGGCGGTTGGGTTAGGTGGTTGGGTGGGTGGTTGAGCGGATGGATGGGTGGTTTTGTGGCTGGTTGCTTGGTTGGTTGGGTGGTTAGGTGGGCAGTTTTGTGGTTTGATGGGTTGGTCGGTTGGTTGGTTGGGTGGTTGGGTGGGTGGTTGGGTGGTTGGGTGGTTCGGTTGTTGGGTGGTTGGGTGGGTGGGTGGTTCGTTGTATGGTTTGGTGGGTGGTTGGGTGGATGGGGGGTTAGGAGGGTCAATTGGTTGCATGGGCGGTTAGATGGGCGGACTCCAAAACATGGGATGGTTGAGTGGTCGGTTAGGGCTGACGGTTGGTTCGGTGGCTGGAGTGGATGGTTGGGTGGTTGTAGTGGTTAGTTGGGCGGTTGGGAGGGCCGTACGTTTGGATATTATGTTTGGGTGAGTGCGTTTGTGGATTGGTTGATTGGTTGGGTGGTGGGTGGGCGGGGGTGGTTGGGTGGTGGGCTGGCGGGTTGGTGGGTGGGTGGTTATGTGGGTGGTTGGCTGCTTAGG